AAGTGACGCCGAATTACATTTCTCACTCCGGTGGCGAAGTTATTCCGGTGGAACAAAGTTGAATTCCAAAGTACGATTCCATGCACTTAAGCGTAAACGCATATACGCACGCAGAGACACGTATGGATCGTCCGAATGATACGGAACCAAATGGATAATAAACAGCGAGACCTATCGACCAACAGAGCGACGCGTTTCCTTTTTTTCTTTAAGCGACGTCTCCACATATCACATCAAGAGTTTAAAATAGAAAAAAAGAAACATTTTTGCGTCGCTTACAGTTCTCTCGTCGAAATAGTCGAATCGGTAGAACCAATAACTTTTCGGCGATCGAACTTTTTCTCTCTTCGCTTTGTAACGTATCTTGCCGTTGTTTGCGAGTAATAACAGAGAAAGAATGTGATTTTGCGACAAAAATCGCTGTTGGTCATGCTAATGACAGTATTTTCAGTTTCACTCTCTCTCTCTCTCTCTTTCTCTCTCTCTCTCTCTTTCTCTGTTTCTTTAAAGTATTTCATTTTAAGCTCTACTCTAGAATTCTTTCTCTTTAGCTATCTCTCTCTTTCATTTCTGTTTATTTATCTCTTTTATACGAACTTGTTCACAATCGATAAATTTAGTGAATTCTATAATTTTTTTTATATTTCTCAAGAATGCATATATCGTCACATCAAATCGTCAGAGATCAAAATTATTAAATTGTATCATTTCTTATAGAATTAGACTCACTACGCGAAAGCTCAATACAGTTGAAACCAAAGAGATATGCAAGAAGTTGTGATCATCTGAATTTTAGTAACATATTATCTAAATTATTATCTAATGTGTTAATAACAAGATTAGAAATGTATTATTATTCGCAGAGCTTTTATGATATTTGATCGCCTTATATATCCAAATGTGGAAAACTAAATTCTTCGCGCGTTTAGTTCGTAAGTATCATGATTTTTGGCATTCATAATGAGTTTACGTAATTTTTTATTTCGTATTGAGCGAACATTAGATATAGATTTCGATGCATACACCTTTCTGGTCCATCATGGAACCAATCACTAATAAATAAATGTTCATTAAATCATTGTAATATCTACTCTATGCGTTTTAGAATAGTCGCGATGCTCTCAAAAACATCATCGCCGAAGATCGCATCGGCACATCGAGAGCTATGTTATAACTTTTTGAATTTTATATAAAACTAATAACAATGTTTTTTTAATATATTCAGTTACGTAAAAAGAAACTAGATTTTACTTCAGAATTTACTTATTTAACACAATCCGAAAAGATCTACGTGTTCTTCTGTTCTTCTAACTTCTTTCTAATTTTTTCCTTTTTCCTCTTTTTTTTTAAATTTCTGTCTCACAACTTTTTCATTTACCTCTCAATTTTGCATTATTTGTTTAAAGTTATCTATTATCTAGTTTATTTTTTAACATGCCAGTCTTAAGTTCTTATTTTATCCTGTTGTATCTTTAACTATCTTTTTGTTCTCATCAATTTTCATCGTTTTTTTGTACTGTTTATTTTATAATTATAAAAAGAAAATGAAAGAAAATAACAAACATTGATGATTGAAATCAATGTAGATAACAAATTGCAACATGTTCGCGATAATCGTATACGTGGATTGATCTCATAATATGATAATCGAAAGAGAGAGAGGGAGGGAGGGGAAGAGGGAGAGGGGAGAGAGAGAGAGAGAGAGAAGAGGAAAAAAAAGAAAGGAGGAATACGCGCAAAGCTCATAGAGAAAAAAAGGACATTGTAACAATTACAGACGACGGTCTACTCCATATCTTTCTTTATTTTTTCTCTTAAAAATTGAGAAACGTGAGAGATTCTCATTAAAGCTGCACGCGAATGCCACTGCGGCGAGTCACACATCAAAGCGGATTATAATTTCGTGATAATTCTAAGGGGCACGAAAGAAAAGAAGAGAAAACAGGTAGAGTGAGGAAGGAGATGCGAAAGAAATCGAGATTTTTATGTAGTGACGATTAAATAGGCGAAAGCAAAGTGCGATCAGACATCGTGCCAGAAAATGAGGCATCGAGATCTTTGATTTGACATACCGAAATATCGTTGTAAAGGTCCAAGATTTGTCAAGGATGCCTTTATGTCACCGTATCATTATTATTATTATTATTATTATTATTTAAATATTTATTACTTAAATATTTTAAAATTTCGTTATTTTATAAATATTCCTGAGATGTTCGTATTATTTGAGCTTCGTGCTCCATGTTTGATCGTGCTTTATCTTTCGCTCAACTTTTATTCATTGCTGTTTCTCTCTTGGATGGCAGGACAAATCGGGATTTTTAGTCGAGTTGACGCCTCGGTAAAGTGTATAGTGAGAATCTTGGAGGTGGACGAGTAAAGAGCAAGAAAAAAATTGAGGAAAAACAACAAGTTAATGTGTGAACGATGAAGAATTAAAAAAAATTGTAAAAGGAACATATATATGCGCGCGCGTGTGTGTGTGTGCGTGTGTGCGTGTGTGTGTTGAATTAGTTCTAAATTTATTGTCCAATTGTCTCGAATGAGTTCAAGCTCTTAAAAAGAGAAGGAAAGAAAGAGAGAGATGTGCACGAGTTGTACACAGCCGAAAGAATAGTCCACCTCCGAAAGTCACAAAAAGCATATTAAAATAGTACATGCCACCTTATCGGGAATGATTGTGTGATAATTACAAGTGATTTGACTAGACCCCCTTCCCCTTTTTGAATGATCAAGCGGATTATTATCATTAAAGATGTATTTTTTTTCGATTGCACATCAATATCTCGGTGACTAGATCTAGAGCGCTAAAAAGACAAAAGTACACTTTTTTTTCATTTCACGCTTTAGATTTCAGATTTCGAGCTAATCGAGACGCGGCTTAAAAAAGTACCCTTTGTAATAGTAATCCATCGGTTTTACCAACGAGGAAGAGATTCCGAGAGAAAGTTGGGAAGGAATTCCTTGCTCGCGAAGCTCGCCGTAACATCTCGGTCATGTTGATTCGATTAAGCCTCGCGGTCGTAGCTTAATCTTATCATGGGCCGGCGCCAGCTCGCGATCTCTTTACGAGACTAATTTAGGAATTCTCGCTGTTTTGCGTATTCTTCGATAAACAGGTTGTTAATTTCGTTTTGTATCGCGTATATGTAAGACTCGAGCGGTCGCCGCCATACGTGCGGCCGGGGAAGGGGGTCGTATATGATGTGATTTCTTTTATATCATAACGAATAATGAACACTAAGAAATATTATAGTTTCATATAAGTGAGATATGTTATTTGTCATTTATTTTATCTCTTAATAAATGATGTTATATAAAAAAAGTCAACGGGTTCTTCATCTCGCCCTCTCCAAAAGCGAAAGACTCATCGCTGAAATGCGCTATTCTTCGAAATTATAATATTAGAAGACGATTCCTGCAACATTGATTAGCTGACTGATACTAATTTTAGTTCCACCATCCTTAAATTTGAAATATTGAAATTTCAAAAACATTGAATATTGAAATGGAATTTCAGTCACCAAGATTAAAATGAAATCCGTCGTAACATATTTGTCTAATTTCAATTAACTTTTCATTTTATCTAACTTCAATTTTTTAAAATTAAATTTATAATATTATATAATTTTAAAATTATCAATTTCATCAAGCGATTATATATACAGTCTGAAGAAGGTCAGAAAGAAGACAATAATCGCCCTCTCTCATCATACATTTATTCGCCGGCTATCAGCATATTACACCACACGTTACACATGACATCAAACGTCTAACAAATCGATTAGCGCTAACGATTACTCACTCTCAGCCACATTTGCATAAAATAGTCCCATTATGAATCTCACTGCTGCTTTTTTCGCGCGACGATATTTACAGAATACTTTGCGTGTACAATTACATTGTAGACAGTCTCTCGTAAAAAGAGAACGCATTTACAGAGCGTGTCTAAACGATGTTCTGTGCATGGATTGAACGTTAGATCTCGTGCGAGAGTAGCATGAATGTACTCCAAATGATATCATCAGAGATATCGGTGATTGCCATTGTAGATATATATCAGATGGTTTAATTTTACGAGCGTAGGACGGGTTGTTCATCATTTGTCATTCAATGTACTACTCTTTTCGAACTATGATGTCGGTTAAATTAGAATTGGAACGTGAGAATATCACGGATTCCTATCTCGCGATGATTGCTTCGCCGACGATGTAAAAAGAAACTATAACCCAAAGATCTCAGGGGAAGCTATTTCACCAAATAAATTGTACCTTCATCAGGAACAATATAAAAGGAGAGAAGGATGAGAAAAAATATTGCTCTTCATTTTATACATCGTAAGTTGCACTTAAGATGCTCAAGACGCTTGGCGTACAATAATTTTTCAACGAAAACATAATTTTGAGGATAAAAATTTCACGGATCATTTAAAGTTATTACGTTAAAATGTCACTGTAAAATAGCATTAACTTTTTTTGAGTACTTAACTCGTCGATCTTGATAACGTCGATTTTGATTGCTTCATAACGAAGAGATTTTTCTTTCGCAAAGTCGAAAATTAATATGCATGCGAGCTGGTCGCTGGTCGTAACTTTTTAATTTAAGATTTTTCTTCGGTGTCCTGACAGTATTAAATCACGTTACCTGAACGTATTTGAATACTTTCTAAAGTGGTGAATATAAAGCGGCGGACGCTTTGTCTAGGAACAATTATACTGTGTCCCGTGAATTGATTAATCGTACAAAATTCGCGACGAGAAAAATCACTTTAGAATCACGTTATAATATTTTATCAATTAAGTTCAGTATACAGCGCCGATCTCTCGACGGATTTATCAAATGTGCGGAAAAGCGGCGCACGCGTTGCTTTACAAATACGTTTAAGCTCTTTCTTCGTAATCGCGAATGACGAATATTTATTGTGCAAACACATGTCTATCGGATAAATTCCGACATTGTTGACAGAAATCTATCAACAAATCGTAATTGTTTTTCGCGAGATACTTTGTACTTGTTCCTGGTTATGATTATAATGTTCTAGTGCTGGTCTTGACGTTGGTTTAATTGCCGTCATAATCATGCGGCGATGCGTGATGATGCATATGGATGTGTGGAGGCAGTTCGACTACGGGTACGGCCAGGTTGCTTCTCTGTAACATAGTTATAGTTGTATAATAGTTGCATGAGTGTAACATCATAGCAATTGCACAGATAACACGCTTGAATGAAATTTACGGAGATCGAAATATTTTAGATAATATTGTAGTTGAGTTTTCTCTACATAATTTTATATAATGTGTGGAATCTCAAATGACTACTCTTATTATTCAAAGTTATTTTATTGTATATATAAATGCAACTCAATTTTTTATAACGTTTAATCTTCGTTGATTATCTGTCGGCAATTTATGGAATTTTTACATTACCATTTCTCAATTTAACTTCAGTAGATAATTGAATTAATTGCTTAAAGCGCTATAATTAAGATTCAATTGGATTCTGTCGATCCTTTAATCTCTTCAGTAAAACCTATATCTTTTACCACTGAATTATTCGTAAGAAAAAATGAAGAGATAATAAATCTCGTACCCATCCTGACGAGAAATAAATCCGCTTGCCAGATACACGTTAATTAAAGAACACTTCAATGCAATTATGAGTTTAATGAAAGTGGAGCACAAAAAGCTTACTACTGAATATAAAATATAATTGAATAATGATATGGCGAAGAGGAAGAGAGTTCTCTCTTAAATGAAATTGCGATATATAAAATTGATTTCGGGTAAAAGTTAAGGAACATCAATTCGCTGAAGAGATGATCAAAGACTCATAGAGGTTTACTATAAGTCTGATCTTAAGACTCGATCCAACAAATGAAATGATCGTACAGCATTTTAACAAAAGATATTTTGGATAGGTGTAATACAAATAAAGTTTGTAAAAAAATTTGTACATATTAAGTGTGGGAAAAAGTTCGTGGCGTTTTTCCCGTTAGATGGCATTAAAAAAACGCCACAAACTTTTTCTCATACCTAATATTTTACGTACATTTTATTAGAAAAATGAATAGCCTCATTTAATTCATGTTAATATGTTGAAAAAAATAAGCGTCGCGCGTTGGCATGTTGATTAATAATAATTAATGAGCGAGGCAATCGTTACCTGGGACCTCATCCCATTTACGGGGGTGGCAGTGGGATTGTCCGGCGAGTAGCCGATCACGTGCGTAGAACATTTGTCGCAAGTACGCCGTCGTCGAGACGACGCGCGGCAGCGTAAGGCGCGGCAGAGCTCGCGTGCCATTTCCGAGCAGAGCGACTCTTGCTGATTTGGTGGCTGCTGATGTTGCTGCTGGCACTGTTGTTGCTGCTGCTGTTGTTGCACAGCTTGAGAAATTCCCTGAAGAGAGCCGGAGATAGGCGTCGAAGGGGCTGGAGGCCTTTGCTACATCAGCAGCGCACAACGACGAATTATTTGCATGAATGACTCTTAATTAATAAATTAATTAAAAATTAATGACTTAATTAATAAAAATAAAATTCAGAAAAGGCGCATTAAAATATATCATGATGCGGGAAACATTCTAAAATTAGCGAAAAATATCATTTCTTTGATATTTTTTCAACTATAAACTATTGAATAGATAAAGTAGCCGAAGATAAATAATAATGCTATATTAATTAAATTCAATGTGAAGACTTTGTTTTTTAATAGAATTATTATATATTAAGGCATAGTCACTTCAAAAATCTTAAATTTTAATATTTATAAAATCTTTTTTTGATTTTTTTCAAATATATTTGATACAATAAGAATTATACATGGATATGTGGGGGGGGGGGGCATCCTAAAAGTAAATTTCTTAGGAAAAAAAAACAATTATGAGTAACTTGTGCATTGTAGAGATGTTTCATTGGAATATGTTGGTAATATTTTTTTATTTATTGTCATCTTTATTAAAATCATACATTGAGAGAAAAATGTTTTGTATATTTGTAACTATAATTATATATTACTATATAATTATGATGATTATTATTATAGCAATAATAATCATAATTATAGTAATATGTAATTATAGTTACAAATACCAAACATTTTTCTTTCAGTGTAAATTAGCTGAGTAAATTTGAATATAGATAGACGTCAATACAACGGATCCGAATTACGTATGGTCATTCGATTTGACTACAAAAAATAAAAATGTAATAAATTCAACATTACCTTCAAAGAAAGATTTTTTGAAAGTCTTTTTATTTCATGGCATCTTCATTCAGAAAGACGAACATTTATTGACATAACATTATTGAGAAGTCATCTACTATTATACTGTTCAAATCTTATACTTAAAAAAAATGTGAGTGGTAAAAATTTTGATAGTGACGAAATCAAAGATGAAATCAAAGATGAAAGTGAAATCATCGACTCCGATTTAAGAATTCGTTTTTTCATATCATTGGTATTGAAAAACTGCTGTTATATGTAACAAGTTAATTTATTGCTTAAATTTCAATGGTAATTATATGGAGAAGTAACTTAAAGTTCAAATTAATAAAATAAGTAAATTTTATAATTAATCTATCTTTTACTTTACTTTCTTACGATAAGGAAATTTATTTTTAGGATGCCCTTCTTGTATATAATACTGTTATAATAAATTTATATAATATATAACACTAATAAATTTGTGGAACGTAATTTTTGGAGATATTTTATATCAAATCATACACGATAGAAAATTATCAGGCGATATTTTTTGATACACGTATTATGTGAATGTAACTTTAGTGAACGTGGTTTATATTGAAGCAGACGGATTCATAAGAAGTTCTCTTGATAGTAGAACGGACCTTTTTTCGCAACTGTATTTGGGATACTTGCAGTCGAGCGGCATGCTTCAATGATCGATGAGCTCATGCTGATACGATGAAATCCATGATGTAGCGATGAAACAAAGTTCAGAGAACGTCATGCAACGTTTACGCATACGGGTCACATGCACATCTCTCAAAGTTAATGGTTTTAATAGTTGATAAAAATAAAGCAACAAAAGTAGCTTGAGAATTAAACGCACGCAATCGTGTTTGTCGGATTGCAAGTAGTCGACAAGTAGAGTCGTGCAACGCGAACGTGCTAACGATTTATTGAAATGAATTTCAGCATTGGTTTCTAAGGTTGATGCACTCACCCGTTCCGCCGGTGCATTCCTTTTGGAATTGTAGCAAAATTCGAAAATCGCTATGAGCACGGCGAATGCCAAACCGCACAATAAGACCACGAAAACTCCTCCTAGACACAAAAACATAGGACATTGATGCTCAAACGGATAAGATATTGATGTATAATATTAATAAGAAAGAAATATTTCTGCACATATAAATTAAACAAGTAAATTAAAAAAGTATTTAAATTACACGCTCACATAATTCGAACAATCCATCGTAGAATTTTACTAAAATAGACATATTTACATTTACATCAAGGATATTAATACAATATTATTCATTGATTAAAGAGCGTTGTATCCTTTAAAAAATTTAATAATTTTTCTTAAAAATAATAAACATAGAAGATAATAGGAAATTATTGTGACTATAAGAGGGAAATTCTTTGTGTTATGACTTTACCGAGGAAACTCATGATGCGTATAATTCAGAGTTTACGTGCTATTCTCCGAGAAAGACGCTCACCTATGTTGTCGACGCCTAGAGAGTTGGCTTTATTCTCCTTTCCCTTTTCCGTCCTCATACAGGTATCCTCGGGACTCTTCCACCATTTGTCATACAGAATCTGAATTTCGCCTTTCTCTTGCAATTCCAGAATTGCTAAAGATATCTTATCCCGCCAGGGCGAACCTGCAAAATTTTTCGGGAATCTTAAACGCTATTAAGTAGATAGTAAATCCCACAAGCAATTTACGCGATTCATTTTAACATAATTAATAAATTAAAATTATATTTTTTATTTGCACAATATACTATCGTACAAATAATACAGTTTCATTTTTATTTTATGAAATATAAATCAGAGAAAATAGCTTGAAAATTAAAATGAATATTTATACAAATATCAAATTAAAAAACATTTATTAATTTGTTAAAAAATATCAAAATCTCTTTTTCAATTATCATTCAATAAACTATTATAAATTGAATTGTGAAAAATATGCGAAATTTTTAAATAAAAGTAGATATTGATCAGTGTAATAGTTTACCCATGGGTGTAGCAATTCCATATCCTTTGGTGTCCAATAGACCACCAATTTGCGTGAGATTGCAGTCCCTCTGGACAATGTAATCCAGCATAGTCGACTCCATCAGAAAGGCATAATCGCCGTGAAGGACCCGCTGAATACCTTCTTCGTATGTTGGAACAAATACCGACGGCTTCTTGTTCTCCATAAATCTCCACATCTTTTTGTACGTTTCGACCATTGAGTCCTTGAATCGAAATTCGAAAAGCAGAAAATCAAATTTTATTATCGTCATAATTCAATATCGTAATACTCGTCGTTGCATAAATTTCGCATATTAATTTCAAATATTGTTTTATAATTAACTGCCAACAGAAAAGTTTTTGTAAGCTAGTGTGAAAGATACGATGTGATTAAAATTCTATTCCCGCGTAAGCGGAAGCGATTATCATAATAATTGCAAAATAATTACTTTTGTATCGATTGCGCGGCTGTGTAATGCACGCAATCATCTGATTATTAACAGACTATAAATTGGACATGAACTCACATAATCGTGGAAGTATTAATACATAGGGCTGAATTTACATAGATGGAGTTAAATAAACTGTAGCTTTTGTGCTATTAAACAGCATATCTTTTTAATATTTTTATCATATGATGAAAAGAAAAAAATCATAATCTGAGTTAAATTCAAATTTACAGATTGTAAACACTGTCAAAACGATGGTGATCAAAGGAATGATGATCAATTTCTTGAACTTAAGTAATATTTTATTATTTTTAACTTCTATGCACTGAAAAACAGTCTGGTTGCATTAAAATTTTAATTAAAAATAGATAAATCAGAATTTTCTGATTGAATATTATAATATAGTTGATAGGATCAGAATTTCTGATTGATATGATCAGAATCTATTGATTCAATTAGAAATTGTTATCAATATCGAATATAAATTAATCCATTTCCATGGTTAGTGGTTTTAAAGTAACGTCCATATTGACACATATATGTACTAATAATAGTAAATAATAAACTAAATTTTTGAATTCAAAAATACATCTTTCTTGAGTCAAATTATTTTACTCCATTATTTTAATCAAATTAATTATTATATTAAATTAATTACATTGAGAGATTAGAACTAGTGATGACTTATTAGAAATGATTAAAAATTGGATATAATTTGATATTATAAATTCAACATTGCAGGAGGAAAATTGCAAGATATATTATAGTATCATTATTCTACCTATTCTACTTATTTATATTTCAACTAAATAAAATATTAATCACCCTGAAGAAAGTCATCGTGCTTCCACTATCGAGAGTTCCGTATGCGATATCCGTCTGACTGGCGAGATCTTCGGCGTTCTCTATAGGCGTGATCATTCTTTCCACTGTAAGGAAAGCTGCTAGATTTGCAGTATACGACGAGATGATGATCAGGGTGAAGAACCACCATATACCACCCACGATACGCGTACTCGTAGCCTGATAAAATCATTATCAAGATTCACCGCTTCGATTCAACAATTAAGCTTTATAATTTATTGCTATTAATTTCGTATTAATTTTACTGCTGAACAATGATGTATCATAAAATTGATTGATAAGTGATTTTAATTGCCAATATTAGAATATTACGATATCGTCTTATAATTTGATAGCAGATCTGATAATAATATTTTCAAATTGTAAAAACGTTAATTTCTCATTATGCTGAAAATATATCAATATATATCATAATATATCAATATTCTTTTTTATCTTTTTTTTTTGCGTTTTTTATTGTAACTTTTAGGCTTCCAGGAATTAACACGTTTCATTTTGAATAGGAACTTTTTAGTATTTGAAAATTAATTCAAAAGCTAAAGTTCTGCAAATGAAAGCTGAAAATTTTTCGAATAGGAATGTTCGCGTTGCTTGTTGAGAAAATTATGAAGAATTACGTGAAAGTATCTGAAAATAGGATATTTCATACAGATAATTATTTTAAATAAAGATAACGCGTTTAATTAGAATAGGAATTTAATTAAATAATAATTATCAATGAGAATACATACATTTATAATATCATAAAAAGATCTGACCTTTAAAATAAGAATCTATTATTATGAGAGTTAACTCATGTCTATTACATATAGATAAAAGCAATATAGCAAGATCAATGAATCTGTTTATAAAGTTAATTATGGTAAGATTAATATAATGTTATATAATGTAACAACCTCACAATTTACATATATCACAAGAAGATCTATTTCGCATAATGTTTGCATTTAACTGATGCATAATGTCTATGATATTAAAACGGGAACACGTCGCAAACACAAACCTTGGGATTTAGATCGCTGCCCTGTTGCATGAGAGTTCCAATGGTGAACCAGAAGCTATTCGATAGGGAGAACTGATTCTCGACGATTTCCGTCCCGGGATGACACGGATGGGGATTATTCCATTCGTAGGGGCTAAATCGCGCCACGACGAACATCGTCACTGATACTAAAACGTACGCTGCCAGAACGTACAGCCAGATCTCAATCGCTAACGGATTCATAAAGGAAAAAAGCCGCGCCTGGTGACGGGTCGGTACCTGCAAGCAATTTGAATTTTTTGATATCTTGCTGCTTTTTTTTGATATCTTGCCGCCTTTCATATGATAAAATTCTATCTAAAATATATTAGAAAAATTGATTCTTTTATGCAGTCACCCGCGGAACATTATTCTGTTTTTACTTTGCTTTATTTAATGACATTGTTGTCTAAGTTAAAATTATATGATAATATTAATAATTAAGTAATTAAAATATAATAGAATTTATCGTCGGAAATTTTCTGTTCAATTTGTTTTACTATGTATTCGGTATTTTATTTTAACGATCAGATGTATTTTACTTATTATTTTTTACTTATTATTTTTTACTTATTATTGTACCTATAAAGGAAAAAAAGAGAATATGAAAGGGAATATGAAATATGCATTAGCATTAATTAATTTTGCGTAATATCAGAGAGATATGTGTAATGATGAAGAAATTTTGCGCGAATAATTTAACAATTCTTAATTAGCAATCTTAATTAAACGTAATCTTAATTAAACGTAATATCGTGAAATCAATTATTTTACTTAATGTATCCAAAATTTACTTTGCTTACATTGAGAATATTATCCAATTTTCGCTCAAGCTTTTATAGTTATATTAAACTTTTATATTTAATTAATCTGGATATTTTATACAATGTGCACTTTACAGACTATCAATTATTACTACCAATAATAACCGGAAAAATTTTTCACAATAATTCACTACATATTGGTAATTTATATATAATTAGGTCGAATTTGTCAAATTTAATATATCGTAAATATTGCAAATTAAAAAAAAGGAAATATATATGTAATATTGCAATACATCGATAAAAATACAGTCAAATTTATAGTCAATTAAAATAGCAAACTGTCAGTATATTTGTATGTTGAAATCGATCTTCTCGATTTTTTCACAACACATCGGTAGTTAAATGCATGGTATCAAATTCTTCATTTTGTACAGCTCTGCGGGAGTGGAATTGGTTGATGTAAAATTTAACATTGCTCTCGATAGCAGATGCTGATTCCGAGGAAATAAAAAAAACAATGTAGCAAAAAGCATAGTCATTGTTACTAGTTACAACAAAAAGAAATAATAAAAGATCATTATAAAAGTACGCTGTAGTATGCTATATACATAATAATACATAATAATATATATATATAATATAATATATACATAATAATTCAAGAATGTATAATTCAAATCGTAATAGATCGTAAATATCGAGTGTGGAATCTAGATGGATAAATGATGGGATGATAAAAGATATATAGCTTTGGGAGTAGAAATAGCTACAAATTAATTGCAATAAAACGATGTTTTAATTAGAAAACGAGCTCGCGATCAACGTTGATTGGTGCAATCAACGAAAAGAGGCCGCGCCTTTTGTATTTGCCGGTAGAAAATCTCATTTGAGCAGAAATAAATTTTCAATCCGCATTAAAAGCTAAGCTATCATCGTCAACGCGGCGAGAAAGCCTTCATCGTTAATTAATTTATAAGATAAGAGGTCCACTTATCGAATTTTTCATGCCTCGCCATTATGGTGAAAATGGAACTGTTTCAAGCAATTAATTTATCATATCGTACATTACAATCAATTTTAACTAATATTCATATCGATTATTTAACAGAAGTACTTAAATAGAGAGCTTCCAAGGATTCTGCCAAGTGTAATACGCAGTCTATAATTAATCTTGCAGTGAATCGCGATGAAAGATCACCACATCATTGCCGCTTGACTGCATAATGGTGACTTGCTTAATTATCTTCATTAAGCAGTTGGCTTGTGCTATCGGAACTAAGACGAACAATTTCATTCAAAGTTTGAACGTTGGAAAATACCAAAACGATATAATACAATTGACAATTGTATGTTTATTATTATTATTATTATTATTATTATTACTCACGTCAATTGAAAAATATATAAAACTGAAAGAGAGTTCATGTAGAAAAAAATACACAAATATATATTAATATATAATATTTGGATACAGAAATTTAAAAAGCTTTTTCCTTAAGAATCTAAGAAACTTAAAAACTTTATTTTATCGATTTTCCAAGAAGTACTTTCTAGAATATTAGAATATAAAGAAAGGTTAATGTACTCAAATAAAATGATTCGAAAATATCATAAATTAAAGTATAAACAGCTTAAAGACATTATTGCATCTCTTCAATAACGTTTACAAAGTACATTATATGTATTATAATCAATAAATATTATAATCAGTACCGAGAACAGGTTCATGGCATTCACGTTACGTGCAATAATATTAATGAGAGAATAAATGTTTATTAATTCTCATAAGTAACCGTCTAAACATAGAGATATAAAGATAGTCTGTAATTGACTATCTTTATATCTCAGAAACTATTATACATATATTGCTTAAAATAAAAATTTTAAAAATCAAATAATGTTTTTTATTTAATTTTTCGAAAATTATGTATAATACTTTAAATCACGAATTTTAGGACACCCAATGTATTTGAAAAATATCTTATTAAAGATAATTTTCAAATGTTTTTCAGAAAGTCTTGAAAAAAATTTTTAAAGTGCCAATAATATTTTAATTTAACGCTTTAAAAATGACAGAAATATTTTAGATAGAAATATTTTAGAATATATTGTATGACAGTTTATTCATTTATTATCTTAAATAATATCTATCTTAATTTTAAATAATATCTATTGAAAATTAATAAAAAATGACGTATACACTTTAAAAACTTCTGAGAAAAAAATTCAAAGTAACATTAATAAAGTTTATCGAGTTTTTATTAGAAAGAAAGGATGATTAACTTTATTGGTTTTTTATAGAGAAGTTATGTTACTTCTATTATTTATCGATTGCTCTAATGACATTTTAAAGTGCTGACTCTTTTACTTTATTATTATACAGCAATTTGATTAGATAACAAGACTATAATTCAATATATGTAGATATATCATAGAATAAAAGTCTGTAGTAAAAGTCGAGGGCGAATAAAACAGGAATAAAAGAGTGAAAAAATGAATCGGTACCAAAGATCGAAAATGACCGTAAATTTCGTCGGACCAAACGTCTGATTGGATTTTCCACAGAAAATCGAGAAATTGGAGATGAACGAAGGGAGCGACACAGTCGGCATGATCTCGTCGTCAATCGTGTCGTCGTCGCGAAAATTTTATTACAAAAATTCGAGAAATTAACTTCTCGGTATTATTACGTCGCTCCTTGCGCAATGCCATTATTAACTTCGGAGTAAGCGAATCCATTTCGCTTTCGGAGTAAGCACCACTGCTCGTTACGGTATAAAGTGCAGCTGGTCGAGAGAGAAGTTAACTCAGCATCTCGAATTATTTAGCGCGAATCGGAACTTGAGGAGATTCCGGTACTACCGCTCAAATCGATCGAACGAAATCCATGAATTGGGAGAAACTCTCGGCAGACATTGTGGGAATAATTAAAGTTTCACGAATAATAAGGTGGAATCGAAGAGACAATAGAAATAGAGAAATATAAAGAAATATAGATAGAGAAAAAGGAAGAAGAAAGAGATAGCAGAGAGGGAGTGAAAAAGGGGAGTTAAAATGGTGAAGAAACAGCTCGTCGAAACGAGTTTCGAATTAATTGGCTCTAATTCGACACATCAGCTGATCGATGACATTGTACATTCCGATTATTAAACCATTGCGTACCATCACTTGTGAGCGGTTCTAATTAGTCTGCTTCCCCCTTCTGCGACCTCGCAACACATGCTGCACTGTATTATAAGCGAACATACATACATGTGCTTGATGATGCATTTGCATGTTGGTACATGCAAATGCATCATCAAGCGGCGCGATATTACAGACATAGCACGATCTTGTAACCGAGTCGTATTAATAAAGATTAAATTTGACATAGACACGAAACCATTTTTTTTCCAGCATTTGTTTCATCTGTTTCGCATGTTCAAGCCTTTATTCGAGATTTTTGTCACTTTATAATTATGCAAAGAATTATTTGTACATATTACGTATAAACTCTCAATGAAAATCTTTTACAGAATCTTTTTGATATTTAATAAAATATAACGCTCCAGACTTTGTTTTTTTTTTTATAAATATGTTTTTTATAAATATTACATTAATGATTCAATAAACACAAAATGTTGTGATAAAATTCTTTTATCACCCTGTAGTTACTCAAAAAATTATTTATATGTATTGTACAAACGAAAGTAAATGATACGCATCTGATTTCCATTTAGAGACCATTTAGAACGCAATGTTCGATTAGGTTGAGTTTAACCACTACAGGCAATTACTACTATATATAATATAGTTGATAATAATCTCTTATACGCAAATGGTATTTACATCCAATTATTAATTGGCTATTTTAGCAAAATGTGGAAGCATTATACAAACGTAACCGTTAGCAATAATCCATTCACAGGCAAGTAGATAAGAACTAGTTATGGTCAGCCAGCACCACAACCAAACCGAATTACCGTCGTACGGATGGCATTACTTAGATAAAACATCTCAATTAAAATTACCTTGTTCGCGTTTGTATCAACTTTTTAGAGATTGTGCGCAATTAAAAAAAGAAAAACGTGAAACATGAAAATATCGACAGAGATATGATTCGACGATGCAAAATTTTCATCGACATAACTTTGGATGTAGGCACGTTCGTGTTGGCTGCCAAATAAAAATAGTCTAACAACAACAGATGGAGTATACGACGGTAAAAAACGGCAAATAAGAATAACAGATGCGCTGCGCGGAAAAATACACGAGGGAGGAGAAAGACCAACAAAGCCGGATGCCGGAACCGCCACGGCAACAATGCGGCGGGACGTGGACGAAATAAAAATATGGGCTATCAGAATAACGCCATTTCGCGTGTGAACCGTGAGATTAGAGCGGAGGCTTATACAAGATAACTTTAAATGCTCCGGACGAGCTAAATACAATTGCTACTTTGTAACGTGATAAATTCTCGCGATTTTGCACATCGAAATTACTGTCCGGCGAAACCGACTCTTGCTTACCTTGAACAGGATCGAGATACCCAAATTCATGAATGGCTTTGTGAAATCGATCACCCTCTCGCGCGCGTAGTTGATTGTCATCGAGCCGACAGCGAGATCAGCCCTCTGCGAA